ATTTTGCGTCAAAATTGGCCCAAGAACTCTGAGTGACACTCTTTGGGATGAGCTCGAGGAAATGCCACCAGGTTGAGTGCAAAGGAGTGCACCATATGGATCACTTCGGGAACAAAGAATGAAAAGCCCCCAAGTTCCAAGTGGAACCGCCTTCTCCTCCTTATACATTGGAAGCCTCTCTAGACCTGTTTCCGACCCAAATGAAATACAGTACCTGGTAGTGTCAGCTTTGCTTTTTTTAACGAACACTCTTTAATATGAAATAGATGTCAGACTTCGCGATTGGCGATTGGCACCAGCGACTTATCGATTTCGGCGTTTCCAGCGCCCGTTTCGAAAGCACGGGAAAGTGGTAAGTCAACGCACGGACCGCAGGGTACACTCTCGTTGACACTCGCCCCTTTACCATGTTCTACAATCGTCGGAATCGTTTAAATCGCCAAAATCCCTAGTGCCAGTCGCCAAAATCGCGACATCTGACACTTGCCTAAGCGATACCTGTTGAGTTTCATTGGCCACATGCATTACAGAGTGGTCAGCATCCCTCCAATAGGAATTGAGAGCTCTTTCGAGACGATCGACACCACCAAAATGATGATGAGGGCCCATCATGTAGTACGGACACCACAGCTCCATGACTGATGTTTACTGTAATAAGAAATCGAGAGCTGAAAACTCAGAACGACGACCAAGTTTGGCGATGAAAAACAAGGAAACTGAAGGAAAAAGGACTGGCTAGGTGTGAAGGGGATCTAGCGGAATTCTCAGATTCTATTTATTACTACACAAGCCTGATCCGTCGCGAACTCTCAGATCGAACCCGTCCAAGCCTAGCAGGATTTTCCATTCCCCCTCGGCTCGGTGCTAAAGAAAGATAGCGGTTGAAATTTCTACACCTAGGTCTGGTTTCCATAAATTTGCCCTACCCTGTAAAATCGTAGTTCACCATGGAAACGCAGCTTACTAGAAATTAAGGAAGAGGTGGTCACCAGAGAGAAGTCCCTGAGAAAAACTCAGAACCCGAGAAATGAGGCGCTGATCCGCAGTGATGCGACTCTCATTGGTGCTCCCCTCTCCAATGGTAACGCTCACGGCGAGGGTGGGCGTGCCTGTACGAGTATGGCCCTGCCAGGCCGGTGAAGGCATGCTCTTCGCAGCGAAACGCCTATCGTCCAATACCCTTAGGTGTCCGCCTGCCATTCGACTAGGTACATTTCCCCTTTTTCGACCTCCGACCTTGCCGTGGTGTCCTCCTTTAAGTAGAGAGGAGCAGCTCAGATGGAGAACCCAATAAACATCATGCTCCTCATTAACAACTTGCCAACCCTTGATAAAAATGTTACGGTTTCGAGTAAAGAATATAGTCGATAGAATTCAACTTCACCAGTTCAGCTGAATGAACCTCTATGGTCGCAATACTTGAAGGTACTTTGCAAAAACATCGTGCGCGTGCGTATACTGCACACAGGACGACGGTAGAGGTACAATAGCAAATGAGGATGACTTACCCTGTCTGCCCTTACCCAACAGTTCTTACCCATAAGTTGAAGAGAGGCCCCACGCCCGCGGCCGAATCTTCGCCGAACTCTCCTGGTCGATATCGTGCAATCGAGCTGTCAAAAATGAATTCATTCTCAACTCTAGCGTTCTTGCGCCCCTTGTATACAGGAAGGCCTTAACCAGGAAAGGCATTCAACTTCCCATGGAACTTTGAGTTGAGACCCAGATATATCGATAGAGCTTCAAACGCTGATTACAAATATGGAAACTAAAACTGCAAAATGAACCTGCCAAGGAAGTTGTGAGCAGTCAAAGTTGGCTGGAAGTAAAGCGTTACGTACACCGTGCTAGCCTCCGGGCTTTCAAAGTCGCCGTGGAGTAGTGGTAGTGCTCTCGAAATTTGCATTCTATCGGGAAAAGTGCTT